ACCCAACCATGAAGTGACTAAGGCATGAGTTATGGTGAATATGGCCCACAGGATCACATTAACATGACACATCTAGGGACTGAAAGCTGAACACAACAGAAATGGGTTGTGAATGCTATATAAGCTCACCATCTTCATCTTCTACAAACTTTTTGGTTGGTCTTGGAACGACCTCCCCATCTTCATCATATTCCTCCTCTGATTCCTCAGCTTCACTTTCCACAAAGTCAGACATGGCTGCAGTTAGAAGTAGCACTGCCTGGAGGAAGAAGAGGCTGAAGTTACAAAGGTTTCTAAAACTGCTTTACAATTATGCTTGCCTTTACCAGCTTATCACAGCAATTACTCATTTACAAGTAAGATACAGAGGCAGTGCCTAATCAGCACTGCCCAGCCAGTCAGGTGGCGGCCAGCATGTCCCAGCAGTTCCCTCAGTTCCAAGTCCACCTATTTAGAGTCCAACAATTTGGAGAACAACAAACATTTTATTATGGTCCAAGACCACACACAGTCCAAGACCAAAAGAACCAAATATAATCTGAGAATACGGCTAAATCTCATTAATTAACTACTACTATTGTCAGGTCTGAAGCTTTATGGCTTGGGCACAGAATTTCATAGTTGTATAGGCGATTTCCAGGTGCTTATCTTTTAGGAAAAATTCTAAATTCCATTGGTCAGAACAGCCAGGCAGCCTTTCCATTAAGGCTGTTGGATTAGTTGGGAGCACGACAGCCTGGAGAAGCATAAACAGGCACCATGAAGCTTCCTCTATAACAAGCCCAGTTCAGACCCAATAATTCTGCACTCTCCCCCCTGTCCATTGTCCCAGAGTGGAAGTCTTGGAAGAACTGCTAGAGCATATAGAATTCTATGGCTTCTTCAGTTTTAACAAACATGGTCAGTTTTCTATTACTCAGAGGTAAAGATCTGAAACTAGAATACCACACTATGATTTGATGCCCTAGTTTGCAGTCAGTCAAACTCCACACATTTTTTGGAGAATCCCTCACTGAATTCAATGTAACTTTCTTCCAAGGAAACAAATACACGTTTGGCATAAACAGATTCCAGATAGGATACATGGATAGTCCTCACTTAGCAACCACTCGTTCAGCGACTGTTCAAAGTTATGATGGTGCTGAACGAGGAGACTTATGACTAGTCCTCGAAGTTGCAGCTCTTGCAGCATCCCCACAGTCATGTGATCGCAATTCGGGCACTTGGCAACCACTGCACAATTATGACAGTTGCAGTGTCCCGTGGTCACATGATCGCCATTTGCAACCTTCACTACTGACTTCCAAGAAGCAAAGTCAATGGGGAAGCCAGCAGGAAACTGCAAATCACAGTCACATGACATCGTGCTTAACAATGCCTGCATGATTTGGTTATCGACTGCAACCGGAACTACCATTGTAACTTCGTATGGTCATGTTTTACAACCATATTGCCAGTCCCAACTATGGTTGTTAGCTACCTATAATGGAAAACAGTAGTATAATAAATCTGGCAAATTCTGCATTATAACACGCAAATAGATTAGAGTTAGGAAGCATGTGGTCACTCTCATACACCAAACTCTGGTTTATTGGAACAGGATCGCTGCATCTGAATTAAGACTCTACTAGCAAACATTTAACTCTTGTGAATTAAACAAGATTATGATAAATCCTACTTTCTGAGCATCTAAGAATACATTAGGACAAGAGCCAAAATGCCTTTATTCTATTGCTCTCCAGTTATTACAAAATGAGAGCAGCAGAAGGAAAGTGTAGATAGATAGCTATTCTATCAACCAGCCTGATCAAGTTGATCAGACCAAGAAATCAACTCCACAGGAAAGCTAACATTATTTTTACTGAAATATTAAATAAATATTAAATTTATGTTATTTTATTATTATTGGTTATAACAACAGAATCTTACAAATCTGACTGAGTTGTACCTCCTCCTCCTCATAGCTTAGTGAATTGGGAGGTGTCTGTCTGAGCTATTTCTTAATGTTACCTGGCTGGTGTAGACTTAAACTATGTTTAACTATGTCCCTTGGCAATGGACCTTGCCTCTCTGTCAAGGTCATCTTCCTTACTCTCTACAGCATCAGGCCAAACCGTGCCTGTAAGAGATGGGCAGAGCCACGGGGGCTCGCAAGACTTATGCTCTTCTCACTGGAAATTCTCGAGATTCCCCACCCCACCTCTATTCAGGTTTTTGAGCCTTCCCACAGCAGTAACAAGAGCCTCAACAGAACAATTTTAGCAGGCAAACCCTTATATAATTTAAATATTTAAACAATGTCTACAGCTACCCAGCTTGCAAAATGCAGTTCTGGGTGGCTAACACAGGATTAAAGACAAAAGATAAACAATAAATATAAAGGAACCACAACAATACAATATAAAACAGCACATGCAGAGGCCAAAACCACAAGATGTTCAAAAGCCTAAACCAATTTTCCAGACAAAGTCATCCAACATCTTGACCTAGTGCTGGTCAGGGTGTGCTGAGGCCTTCTGAATCTTGGGAGGGGATGCTGTTCCAAAGGGCAGGCACCCTGACAGACAAAGCATGTCTCCTGGGTCCCATCAGATGGGCCTGTCTCACGGAGGGGACCTGGAGCATGCCCACTCTGTGGGAACTCATGGGATTGGCAGACAGAGACACAGGCGGTCTTGCAAACAGCCTGGCCCTATGGCACGAAGGACTTTATAGCTAATTAACAGCACCTTGAATTGTACCCGGAAGCCTATAGGAAGCCCGTACAGCTCACAAAGTAGTGGTGTGACATGGGTGTACCGTGGTAGATTCATAACTATCTGCCCCACTGCATTCTGGACCTACGATAGTTACCAGATGATCTGGAATAGTCCAAGCAGCAGGTAACTGAGGCATGACTGACTGTGACCAGGGCCTCCCAATGCAGGAACTGGTACAATCGGTGCACAGGATGGAATCGTGCAAAGTCCCTCCCGGCACAGCTGCCACCTGCTTTTCAAGCATGAGCCACAAGTTCAAGAGGACCCCCAAACTGCACCCCAGTTCTGTCTGGAAGAGTGCTACCACATCCAGAGCTAAAGATGGAAGCTCTCCAGATCTGGGGGGCCTTGAAACACAGCCACTTAGTCTTGCTTGGGTTAAGCTCTCCATCTAGACCCCCACAGCCTCCAAACACTGGGGAAAAACCTTGACAGCATCACGTGGTTGGCCTGAGGCAGAGACGTAAAGCAGCACGTCATCAATGTATTGACGATACTAACCCCATGCTGACAAATGACCTCACCCTGGGGCTTTATATAGGTATTGAATATGAGCTGTGTGAGAGAGGGAAGAGCCCAGAGACCCTGCAAAGCAGGGGCCTAGGGATAAATTTCTCCACCCTGCCTTGACTGGAACTGGCCACAGAGAAAGGAATAGAAGCACCACAATACTGTGCCCCTCCAACGAAGCCGATCCAGAAGGATACAGCTGAGAGATCAACGGGGGCCAGGATGGATGCACAGCCCTCATCCCAATCCCACTGCAGGTCATCAACAGGTGTGATCAGTTGTACTGTATCCTGATCTGAAACCTAACTGAAAGACCTAACTTCCTTCAGGGTTTTCTGGAATTGCAAGCTGATCCCTTGCTCAATAACTTTTTCTAAAAAGTAAAGGTTGGAGACAAGATGAAAACTGTACGGAACCACTGGATCCAGATATAGTTTCTTGTGAAGGGAACAGACCATTGGCTCTTTAAGGGCTGGCGGAACCACCTCTCTCCCAAGGGTGCAATCACCCCTGCCTGGATCCAAGCATACGTCATCTCCTGGGAGGCCTTCACTAATCAGGAGGGACACACATCTGATTCACAGGTGGAACTATCCTGTCCACTTCCTCAGGACTGACAGGCTAGAATTCTTCCCGGATAACTGGGTAGACTGTGCCTTGATCAATTCCAAGGGGCCTACCCAGTCACAGGCTAACTCAGAGTGGACCTGATTGACTTTATCCAGCAGTGGCAGTGATCCCAACTGATTCCTGGAGCCCAAACTTATCACCAGGATCTCACATCTGGCTATGTGCGTGGCAGCACCTCTGAAAGCCACACAAATCCAGCTGGTCCAATTCCATATTTGGTGGCAGCGATAACGCAAAGGACCCTTGAGAACACCCTTAAATTTTTCATGAGCAACCACAGTTGCCCCAAAGTCTAGTAGCTGCATTTGGCTTAGTTTAAGACTGCAGCAGAGTGGGAATTCAAAGGGCGTGTTGCTAAAGCTATGTGAGGACCGGTGGTCTCTCGCCAGCATCCTGCAAAACAGGGCAAGGCAAACAAGAGAAAGCAAAACCACTGTAATAGCTCCAGAAACATGGCAGCAGAGGCAGGCTGTTCCCTCCAGCCCCAGCCCAGGCTCCCAAGATCATCATCACAGCTACCCGGTCAAGCGTCCAGCAAAGGCCAGGGGCCACTTTTCTTCCTGGGCAAAATGGAACCACTCTTGCAAGTTTCAACACCATCTGCACCTCACCAAGCTGCAACCAAGTGCTTGAGTGCATTTCTTGGCTCCTTGTTGTTACCCTGTCCAAGCACTCATTTTTATTTTATTTTTTGGTATCTCAAGCCATCTTTGACTCCTGATGACTGCCTGCACTAGTCTCTGCAGCTTTCTCGGTAAGGTTTTTCGGAAGTGGTTTGCCATTGCCTCCTTCGTAGGGCTGAGAGAAAGGGACTGGCCCAAGGTCACCCAGCTGGCTTCATGCCTAAGGCAGGACTAGAACTCACTGTCTCCCAGTTTCTAGTCTGACGCCTTAACCACTACACCAGCCTGGCTCTCTACTATACCACTACACCAAAGTGGCACCCATTATCACACAAATAATACTTTAAAGGAGTGTTTGGGTTTCCTACACAAGTTGGTAATTACAAAGCTCTGCACTCTTCCTTTCATTACACCAAGCAAGGGCCCCTCCCTGTTCTGCCAGCCTTACTAGAATGTTGAAGCAGTTCCTAAATGCTATATGGGTAGTCCCCAGTTTGAGAACGAGTTCCGTTCCCAAGCTCTGTCCTTGCGCCAAATTTGTACGTATGCCTGAACAGTACTACTGTATAATATGTATAAGTAATATTGTGTAATTAACTTGAACCATTGTGTATTTAACTCGAATCATTGTGTATTTGACTCAAATTTTGCTACAATAGGCTCTGTTCTTAACTATGGGTTGTCTGTAAGCCGGGTGTTCCTAATCCGGGGACTACCTGTAGTCCAAAGCCCTGCCACTCCACTTTTGCTCTCTGGGGCAACTTCTAATACCAGAGTACAGAAGCTTTTCCCAACTTGACACCATGTGGGAATGGAAATTCAGCACATCTGGAAAATGCCAAACCAGAGAAAGGTCTTCCTGAATCACCTCAGCATCCCTCATAGTAAGTTTGTCAGCAAATAATACCGTCTTGCATTGTAGTTAGGGAATTAAGACTAACAGTGATTCACCCGGGACTATGAGCTCACAAGAAGGAAAACTTAGGGCTCCAGGTTGGGGCGGGGTCTTCTTGGCCTACAAATCTGCCTCCATGCTATAGCAGCTTTATAGACACCCAGTGTCCAATAAAGGACATTAGGACATCTTTCCCCTGCCTACTATTTTTTAGGTAGGGGATCCCCAGAATTCCAAGCAAGCTAAGTCAGGATACTTAGTGCATGAGACGCTCCACCCACAGCATTTCAATGCAACAACCCCCTAAAACAAACTACGATTCTCATTCTATATAGCAGAAAAGAGTCAGGTGATGAAGGCTGCGGTCAGAGAAGATGGCAAAATGGGGAAGGATGGTGGAATACCTAAGAACACATCTAAGACAAAGCAGCTCCATCGCGTGTTCATAAATCCCATCTCAGCACAAAGCAGCAAGGATTTATACCTGGCTCATTCAGACCCAACAACCAAAATCTTTGTAAAATATATTGAAAGGATTGAAAGCGCGGGATCACAGGAATGAAATTTGGGGAAGGAAGGGAGGAGGGTTTGCTCTCCAAGTTTCTTTTCCCTTGGTTTGCCTGCATTATTCTGCGGTGTTACGTATCACCAGCCAAGGACTGGTGGCACTGCCATTATTCCTAAGCAGGGTCCTTTTGTATTCCTGATCAGAGGACGCCTTCAGCGGCAGCGAGGCACAGCGCTCCCAGCCCCTGAGCGTCCTAAATGATCAGCCAGCAGCTCCTCTTCCTCCCCCGAGGAGGGCGGGGCTGCTTTAGACAACCGCATGAAACATCCCAGGGTTGATGCAACTGCAAGAAAACATTCTGCAACTGAAAACACGGAGCAGCGC